AGTGCACTTTAAAAATTATATATGTACTTATGTAAGTGCTGGTGTTACTATCGCCAGTTTCTGACTCAGCCGTGACTCATGCATATTTCTTTATTTTGAACAAAAGAACAGCTTTGATAGTGTCTGCTCATTTGACTTTTCTCTCCAAGTTTTGTTCATTACACTAAACACTTGTTCCATGGGACTTTTTATTCCTGGTATACATGGAACAAGTTCTGATCACTATATGCCTTGAACAAACCATTTGTAATTACAAAACCAAAAGCAGGGTGTTTCATGGTGATATGAAAAGCCAGGACTATATTGGTAAAGTTGGGATTTATGGTCCCCTTATATAAGGAATAATGAATATTTCATGTGTGAATTAGAAGTGAAATAAATTTGTTTGATGCCTTGGTCTTAATCTGCAAAGCTATCAATGGTTCAGGACTGTACTACATCAAAATCCATTTAGGCAGCTGCACTCTTCCAGATCAGTGCAGCTAACTAGGCCTATCCAAAGTTTTTTGAGTAGTGGAGATAGAGCAGCAAACATGCTTCAAGCTTCATTGGCCTTCCATCCTAATATATGTCTGTACCAGGAACACCACTGAAACTGAACCAGTGATGATGGAGGCAGTTGTTGGGTTAGGTTTCTAATATCCTCATTTCTGATCTTGTCCTAGCATTTGATATGGAGCTGCTGATGAACATAAGAATCAAAGATGTCATTATGGTGCATTTCAGTTTTCGTCAATACTCATGTTTCACTGACTTACAGTAGAGTTGGTATAACTGTAGGTCTGTAGATCCACAGCTTTGTAGCAAGCTTAATGTCATGACATCCCCACTGAAGCTGCTGAAAGGCCCAAAACACATCAACTGCTGCTGTACAAGTGTCCATATCTTTCAAGCATCCTCCAGCCTGTGATGCTACCCCATTAATTGACAGTTGCCATCTGCTTGATGTCCCATCCAGATAGGTTAATACTGAGTTGGTTGTAATCTGGAGGCTGCTTGGGACTTAGTTTTATCTGGATTGTAGCGGACCCTCGCTCTCCTGCTCGGAGGGAGGCCACTTGTTCAGGTTGCCTTCGGGCTTGTCTGGCCAAGGCACGAAGCTGCAGAACAGTCTAGGGCCCTTGTCTCCGCCCGAGGTGGAGCAAGGCCCCCCAGGTCCTCTAGTTCCCAGCCCCACAATAGGGCTGGGCACCAGACAGTCATGGTCAGGCCACTTCCTGCCTCCCCAGGCTTTGGTACCTCTCGCTTCCAGGGCTCCTCAGGTTCCTGGAGGTATGCTGCAGCCACTCCTCGTTGGGGTCTCCCACTTCTGCAGCTATGGGACAGCCAGGTGTGGGTGTAGTTTCACTTTCTGGGCATGGCAGTATGGCAGGAGCATCCTTCTTCAAGGATTCTTCCCCAACTGTGCTGCAGGGCCTTCCTCTATACTTCTGGCCCCGCCCCGGCACTTCCAGTGAGGGAGGGCGGGTCAGGATAGGCCCTGCCCACCAAGGGAAGTGTAGTGGACCCTCCCTCTCCTGCTCGGAGCGAGGCCGCTCGGCCTCACTACATGGATTAATAACCAGACTGACGCGCTGTTTCTTGCCCAGCCAGATCAGCCACAGTGATTCACTAGCTGAGATGATATGCCATCTAACAGCATCTCTTCATATATCCACCCCTCTCGTTTTGTAAATGTAGTAGGTCCTATATTGTTTTAAAGGGTTGTGGCCAGGAAGTTGTAAACTAATCCATTACCACATTGCTATTCTATTTGCAATTATTTAGTAGGTTCATCTGTATCTTAAAATTTAAAAGGAAAATTAATATTTAAACATTTGGGTAAAAATTAACCTAAAGTACCAGATTTTCAAGATTTAGCCCATGCAGAATCTTGTTTACAGAAGAAATTATCATGCATGTTAAATGGGAGGATGTGAAAATGGGGCCTAAGCACAGTTCAAGCTTGATATCTGCCTGACTTCCTCCCTCCGCCTGTTCCTTTTTCCTTTCTGGCTTCACTCTTCTGTGCCATCCTCTTCCTAGATTAAAACAATTTTTTATTAAAAACATAATTCCTATAAAAATGAAGAGCTCTTCAATTTCTTTATTAATTCTACAGAAGATTGAAAGCCTAGAACAAGGAGCAAGGAAAAAGGACACTTTCAGATTGACATAGCAAGCAGAAAGAGAACAGTGCACTATGAAACTTGCATTAAAATTGCCCCTTTGGGTGAAATTCTACTGTAATGTACATTATGTTAAATTCTCTGACTCCTTTATTGTTTCTGCTGCACGATAGTATCACAAACCCTTTGTTACACTCAAGCAGAGCTATTGTTATCTCTTAACTTAAGAGTTGCTTTCTTTATTGGTGGTGGGTCGTCATCTTGAAAAGTAGGGGGAGAGAAATAATGGCACTTCAGCTAAAAACTGTAAAAAGCTTAACAAAAGGAACTATTTTTGCTAAGGGATTCTAAATTACTAATTTGAAAACCTACAAGAGATGTTTTTAAATTTAAATTAATTTTATAAATATTAAGTCTAGGCCCCCAGATGAAAAACTTGGAGCTGGGCTTTAAAATTATTTAAAAATTGCAGAAGTACAGATCTGGGGTTTGGCTTGATCCCTTATAAAGATAGTGACAATTTGGATTTTTGGTTTGGGACCATCTCTGATGATGATACATAGAAATTTGCAACCTGAAGATTATAAAATCCCAGCGCTCACTAGTGAATCTTTCTCCCATTACAAGATCAGTGGCTTTCATTTGCTAGGATGGATCTTTTGTATGCTGTGAGATTTTTATCATCTTGTGGCACACTGTGGGATGTAGATAGGTACCAGGAGAAAACTACTGCAGTAGTCTGCAGTCATGGTACAAAATACTACATCTTGCATGCATAAAGGGTTGGCCAAACCATACTGATTTTTTTTTTTCAGAGAGGTTTGTAATGTGTTTGACTTACTACTACTTTGAGGGATTTAGTGTTAGGGCTGTTCTGTCTTTTATCTGAGCCAATTTACCCATTGCTAATAAGTATAGGTTTTGGTTTCAGGTTATCCTCATGTTTCCAGCCAACAAAATTGTCCAATCTTGGGATCATTGGAAAAAGTTCTGAGGTTACAGTAATTTAAGGTAACAGAAAAAGTTTGGAACAGTGATCCACTCAAGAAGCAAATACTAAGACTGAAATGGAGAACTCTGTATAATCCAGTGACAGTATAATGAAAATAATTGCTTAAAATCCAAAAGACTTGGAAATAATCAAGTCCACACATTACAAAATACTGAATTTCCTAACGAGCCTTACTGCTGTAGGAGAATGATAGGATCCCCTGATGCAGGTTGTTTCACGAAAGGCTAGCTCCTATGGTTAAATGTAAGGCAATATTTTATGGAAACCAATATCTGAAGGAAAGGGGAACTGAGGGTTAAGTAACATTCCTTTTTCTTCATTGTCACTTTGTGGGGGCAATACTTAGAAGAATGCTACCATACATTTAAAAATGCAGTAAATCATGTTCTAAACTCATACGTGTTGAGAGTTGTGATACAGGGTCATGAGAATTCTGGTAGAATGACTGACAATCAAATTTCAGTTCATTCTTCATTGACATGGTATGTGGATTTTTCTGATGTATCTTCTGTTTCTTTCAATGGAAGTTTGGAATGAAAGTTTCAAACTAAAATGAATTTGTTATGCAGTCTAGATAGAGAGGAAATTGAGAACTTTTCTATGGGTTCCACTAGATCTGTGCACTCAAGATGTTGAGGCCATTTTATTGTAAGCAAACAATGAAAAGCCTCTAAATCTTTACTTGTGCCCAACAAGACTGAAAATCTGTTAATTGTTATGAAAGCAATGAAATATAAACTGGTGACCCCTATGCTTGCTAATTTTGATTTAAATAAATTGCTACCCGTACCTCCGTATTTTCAGTAGTCCGTATACTTCTATGTTCTGAATATGAAGAATATTTTAAATACTCTAAGGCAGTGTTTCCCAAACTTGGGACGCCGCTTGTGTAGGGAAAGCCCCTGGCGGGTCGGGCCGGTTTGTTTACCTGCCGCGTCCGCAGATCCGGCCGATCGCGGCTCCCGCTGGCCGCGGTTCGCTGCTCCAGGCCAATGGGAGCTGCTGGAAGTGGCGGCCAGCACGTCCCTCGGCCCATGCTGCTTCCAGCAGCTCCCATTGGCCTGGAACAGCGAACCGCAGCCAGTGGGAGCCGCGATCGGCCGGACCTGCGGACGCAGCAGGTAAACAAACCGGCCCGGCCCGCCAGGGGCTTTCCCTACACAAGCGGCGTCCCAAGTTTGGAAAACACTGCTCTAAGGCCTCAGCAGGTTTTCAAGACTGACCTGACCTGACCTGAAGTGTTATACTATGCAGTATAACAAAGGTTATGATATAATTCAACTAAGCTTTGCTTCTGGAAGTGAGGTGGTGTAGCTGAGGAGCGTTGTCCAATGTTTAGAGCATGAGATTGGGAATTGAAACATGGCTTTAGTTCTTGCCACTTTCTTGCCATGTGACCTTGAGCATGTAATTTAACCTCTCAGTGATTCAATTTCCCCATCTGTAAAATGAGGCTAATCTACTACTTATTAACTCATCAACCTTTGTAAGTCTTTTTAAGATCTATGGGTGAAAACGGCTGTGTAAGGGTTGCTTGTGATTCTTACTATTTTTATTATTTTGTCCATATTACTCCATTTCTTCTATTAGCCTAACATTTATTGCCAATAGTTTGATTGATTTTTTTCCCATGAAGTCAACTGAGGGTACAGGACTTGTAGGTTCCAAGAAGGCAACTAAAAAAAGCTCTAAATGAATCCTATGCAGAGTCAGTCTTTTAATTCCACCCCCCTAATTTTAATGCAAGAAGAGTGTTGGGGTGTACGTTCTCTTGGATTTATTGTTGGTCTTTACATAGGCTGTTAACCATGTCATAACAATTGGCTTCTTTAATTCCAGTGGTGTGTTTGTATGTATTACATGTTTTCCATTTATTTTAGGTCCCAAATCTAATCCCAGTTCTGATGTTTAAATTGGGAAGGCCACTGGAGCCTTTTTTGTACCGGGATATTTTATATACTTTGCCTACTCTGGGTGTACACAAGGTCAGTATGAATAGAAATCGTACTTCATCCAAAAATGATTTTTAATAAAGGGTATATTGTATTAGTAAGTAACTAGTTACATTGAATGAGTGAATGTAGACATGGATATGCATAACTTTCTTAAAATTATAAGTGATTTGTGAGCTTCTGCATAACTTGTTGCTTAATATTTATGATGGGAATATAACAACTAGTTTTAAGGGATGAATTGTGTATTGTGCTTTAACTATCTATACTGTATTTATATATCTCATGAAAATGTCTTTTAGGATCATTATGCACCAAAATCTGTTAGAAAATGACTCCCCATTTCTTTTTGATGCTGCCGTGGGCTTTGAGATATTTGACACAAGTGAAGCATCTCCTTGTTCGTGGATATTAAAATAACAAATGCATGTGGTGAAAAATCTCTTTCAGGTCTGCATCGCTCAGATTTTACGTTTGATACAGGTGCTGGGGAGCACGCCAAAGCTTAGACCTATTACTTTACGCCTGATGACATCCTTATGGGAGAAACAGGTTAGAAAAAATCGTGCAGTCTGTAATGTTTTGGAGATCATCCATACCAATAAAGGGGTCTTTCACTGTCTGCCTTATAAGTTTGGGTGCTTAATGCTATGCTGCTATGGTTCAAAGCCTTGACACCAGTAGCCAGCCTGTAAACCTAAAAGTCTCACCCTGGTTTCCGCCAGCCTAGTTATTCCTTGCAGGGTGACCTCAACAGCCCTTCTGGTCCCAAGTCTCCCCACATTTATCTACCCCTGGTTCTTAACTACCAGACATTTGGACTTCCCCTTCTGGTTTGTCCCCCCCAAAGGAGTGAAACCTTTCCCAGTTATCCGTTCCCTTTGGTACATAAACTACACACAGTTTGCACACTAAAGATCTGCTTGGGGTAAAAATAAACAAAAGGTTAATTTTATAAAAAAATCAGACTCAAAGATGAAATAGCAAGGGAAACAAACGCATATAAGTTAATAGAAAATAAACAAAGATGCAACTTCAAGATTTACACTTCTATTTACGCTTCTATATGAGATAAATTCCCCTTTCTAATAAGTGTTACCTATTGCCTTTTAACAGTTTCCCAGCGTGCCCCCTATCATAGAGGGGATCCAGCACTTAAAGAACTGCACCTCGCATAGATGCTGGCCTTCAGTTTCTGGATGCCAAACCTCCGACACAAGCCTGCTTTAAAAAGGCTTGTTATTTTCTCTCTCATTAGTCAGAGGGCTGGTCCACACTGGGGCCGGGGATCGATATAGGAAACGCAACTTCAGCTACGAGAATAGCGTAGCTGAAGTCGACGTTTCCTATATCGAAGTAAAAGTACTTACTTCGGGTCCACGCGGCGCAGGCAGGCTCCCCCGTCGACAGCGCTTCCTCCTCTCGGCGAGCAGGAGTTCCGCAGTCGACGGGGGAGCGCTTCTGGGATCGATCTATCGCGTCCAGATGAGACGCGATAAATCGATCCCAGAAGATCGATCTCTACCCGCCGAATTAGGCGGGTAGTGTGGACCAGCCCAGAGTGGGGGAAACTGCTTACTTTCATACTTTTCCAAGGCTGGGGTTTTCTTTCGGTTTCAATGTCTTTCCATTAATTTTAATGGTCTGTCATTTGCCTTTTCCTGGGTTGTATAATGCTAAGTGCTTGGAACTAATCTTGTCTGGTTGGGGAGGCAGCCCCTCCCTGCTATTTGTGAGGAGGAGCTGAATGTTGCAGCACAAATTATGAGCATAGTTTTTTATCTACACAACTACATAAATTCATTACCACAGTTTGTATACATATCTCATAATAACCATCATGTTCAGAACATTACAAGCTTTCATAAAAGACAGTAACTGACACATTTTATACACAATAACATTGTGTTCAACCAGTTGATACGTTCTCCTGTTGGGATTTTGTCACATTTCAGGGTACAAGCCACACCAGTGAGTGGTTGTCACTGCCTGCTCTGCAACTTGGGTGCCACACAATGTTTTCCTGTTGTAGCTCCAAACCTGGGCAGCTCACAAACAGCCTACTAGCATGCAGGTCACACCCTGAGTGTCTGTGTATAGCTACAGCTCTGGTCCAGCAACTCTTACTCCAGCAGCCTGTCAGCAACATACCAGCCACAGTCTGGCTTCCACCAGCCTTTGTTACTACTTCCAGGGTAACCACAACATACTCCCAGGCCTGAATTGTCCCAAAAACATGTGTTCAGCTCTGTCCAACCTCCTCCTGGGCAGCTCAGATATTATAGGTTCTTTGCCCTTGTAAAGGGTCAATATTCAACAGTCCTGCTACATTAAGTGGAGTTACCAAGCAGTTCAGTGTAAACACAACACTGGAATAGTTTGTTAAAAAAAAAAAGTTTATTTAACTACAAAGAGAGAGATTTTAATTGAGTACAAGTATAATGTATTAAAATCAGAAATGGTTACAAGAGAAATAAAGGTAAAATTCTTTCTGGTAGTTAAAACTTAACAAGCTAGACTTGGTTCAAGGTAAAATCCTTACCACAAGTTCTCAGCAACATTGCTGACCAAGTTCTCAGGTCAGGAGCTCCCCCAAAGTCAAAGGGCTGATTCCTTTGTTGTTTTAGGTGAAAGAGGGAGAAATAGGGGGAGAGATTGGGAAAGATGCCTTGGGGTATTTTTGCCCCTCACTTCGATAGTCCACTCGCCCTTTGAAGTGAATTCTTATGAGGCTTACCCCTCAAAGCAAGTTTATTCAAACAATAAAGAAGGCATCATGGAGTCTGGTGGTGAAAGTGGTTCCATGCTCTTTTTTCTTCACTATGCTGAAATGCAGATTTGCCTTGTCTCCTGCCATTTACCTCTTGTTGTCTCAAAGACCCAGTTTATTACTTATGTGTAAATTGAGATAAACACACTCCTTTGTTTAGAATAGACCTTTTTAACAACTTTTGTCTAGTCAGGGCTGTGTGGTTTGAATATATGGTAACATCATCATATGGGGGAATTCAGAACTTTACATATAATGTTGCTACATACATTTCATCATGATATTATTGATTAGCAAGTTACTAGTTTTCAAATGATACCTCACAAGGCATATTTGCACAAAGATTATTGCAGTGGTGGATAGGGTGTGGATAACGGGTGCTTTCGGTCACAGGTGTTTGGATCCCGCTTGTCTCACAGTCTCGCCAAGATAAACTACAGTGGATATCATTTTACATGCTTTCCCCTGGTAGGGAAAGTATATAATTTTGAATGATTGATTATACTAGTGCCTGATTATTAGTTGTGGAAAGCAAATTGTGTCAGTGATGCATTTATTAATTCTGATGCATTGAACAGCATCTACAGTTGGTCTTTCATGGAGCCTGTTCTGCATCTCATTGAGTCTTGGAATGAAATTATGAAATAATTTTCTGAACGATATCTTTATACTATTTTACTCTGATACTTTCAATGCATTATGCAATGAGTGATGATCATTTCTATTTGGTTGCATGTTAGTAGATTACTTTTTAGTTTATGGGGGAAAATGTATAGATTCTGTGCAAAGAAGCCACTTAAATCATATCACAGTATTCTTCTCCACTGATGAACCAAAATGCAATGTGATTTGCAATTTAAATGTTCCTTTAGAAGCTTTGTAAAGGCTTTAGCTGCATAAAATCATTTCACCAACTTTTATAAACTTAATTATATATTTTAAAAATCAAATGTTTTTTCTAGGATCGGGTTTACCCAGAACTGCAGAGATTCATGGCAATGTCCAATATGCCCTCTTTGTCCATTGGGAAGGATACTCTGTGGGAAAAGGTGATAGCTAAAGCTGCTTCCATCAGAGATATATGCAGGCAGAGGTAAGAATGAGTGTTCGTTATCCAACTTCGAGAGGGTGCAGGGTGTTTAAAGGAAAGCTGTGCTGGTCAGTTCTGACGAGCCTGTTATCTTAATTGTGGGGCTTATGGTTTTTGATGGCTGTAACAGATACACGTTGTCTTAGGCAATACTTCAGAAGCTAGTAAGTATAATGCGTATACATGCCTTTTAATACGAACAGAATGGGACTACATGAAGGACTCATAGGAAGCACATATAAACAAAACACAGTGCTTCAGAACAGAATTTACAAAGGAATTCTACTTTCTCGGGCCTTTCTGTGACAGAGTTTAATTGAGACATCGCATTTGTGCAAAATTTACTTGGAGTCCACAATGGAAGAGTCAGAATCATACCACTGGCTTCAACCGTGTGTTTTGTCCTACATTAATATGCTGATTAGAACCACTGTTTGAATGTCATTTTAGATATGGAAATGAATGAGCCATGCAGCTAGCTGACACCCCAACTGTCCTCTTGGACATCAGGGGTTATGTCTACACTGCATACTAAGGCCGGGCTCTGTCTCAGGGTATGTCTACACTACGAGAGTAGTTCGATTTTACTTAAATCGAATATGTGGAATCGATATTGCAAAGTCGAACGTGTGTGTCCACACTAAGGACAGTAATTCGACTTTGTGAGTCCACACTAACGGGGCAAGCGTCGACATTGGAAGCGGTGCACTGTGGGCAGCTATCCCACAGTTCCCGCAGTCCCCGCTACCCATTGGAATTCTGGGTCGAGCTGCCAATGCCTTCTGGGTAAAAAAATGTGTAGAGGGTGCTTTTGGGTAACTGTCGTCATCCGTCCGTCACTACCGACCTCCCTCCCTCCCTGAAAGCGCCGGCGGGAAATCAGTTCGCGCACTTTTCTGATCAGTGACAGCGCGGACGCCACAGCACTGCGAGCATGGATCCCACTGCAACCATCGCTGCAGTTGTGGCCGTTCTCAACACCTCACAGCTTATCATACACCTTTCCCTGAGGCAGATGCAGAGAAATCGGGCGAGGAGGCTACGGCACCGCCGTGAGAGCCTGAAGTCGGAGAGTAGCACAGAGCTGTCAGAAACCACGAGACCCAGCGCTCAGGACATCACGGTGGCAATGGGTCATGTGGATATTGTGGAACGGCGATTCTGGGCCCGGGAAACAAGCACGGACTGGTGGGACCTCATAGTGCTGCAGGTCTGGGACGAATCCCAGTGGCTGCGAAACTTTCGCATGCGAAAGGGGACTTTCCTCGAACTTTGTGAGTTGCTGTCCCCTGCCCTGAAGCGCAAGGACACCCGGATGCGAGCAGCCCTGACTGTCCAGAAGCGAGTGGCCATAGCCCTCTGGAAGCTTGCAACGCCGGACAGCTACCGGTCAGTCGCGAACCACTTTGATGTAGGCAAATCTACCGTGGGGGTTGTTGTGATGCAAGTAGCCAACGCAATCGTTAAGGTACTGCTCTCAAAGGTAGTGACCCTGGGAAACGGCCAGGTCATCATAGATGGTTTCGCCGCGATGTGATTCCCAAAATGCGGTGGGGCTATAGATGGGACTCACATCCCTATCCTGGGACCGGACCACCAGGCCAGCCAGTACATTAACAGAAAGGGCTACTTTTCAATGGTGCTGCAAGCACTGGTGGACCATAGGGGACGTTTTACCAACATCAACGTCGGATGGCCGGGCAAGGTTCATGACGCTCGCGTGTTCAGGAACTCTGGTCTGTTTAGACGGCTGCAGGAAGGTATTTACTTCCCGGACCCCAAAATAACTCTTGGGGATGTGGAGATGCCTACAGTGATCCTCGGGGACCCAGCCTACCCGCTAATGCCCTGGCTCATGAAGCCCTATACTGGCGCCCTGGACACAGAAAAAGAACTGTTCAACTACCGTCTGAGCAAGTGCAGAATGGTGGTGGAGTGCATCTGGGAGGCTTTGAAAGCAAGGTTCCAGACTGAGCAGGGTAACCAGTGACTGTTAAGTTTGTGGACACAGAAGCTGAACCTCCAGTTACATACCCCCTTCACCCCCTTCCCAAAAAATAAAATCAGTTCTATTTTGTCAATGAACACCGTTGTCTTTATTACTGTTTTCGCGGGAATGTTTTAAACCGTGGACGCAGACTGTGGCGGGGGGCGGGTTTAGTGTTCTGATGCAAATGATGCTTCTAAACTCCAGGAATGACAGGCTCCGCAGTGGTGCACTGGTTATTTCAACGGAGCCTGCCATCACTCCTGGGCGGAACTGCGTGTATGTGTCAGCTATGTGAGTTTCTGCCTGGGGGAGGAGGGTTACAGATCCCCTGCTGCGTGGCTCTGTGATCCAGGATAAGGACTGCAGCATAAGATCTGTAACTGCCCTCCCCCGCCACAAAGTCACAGAGCAACCCCCCCCCCCAGGAGATGAAAACCACCTCCCAGACTGACCAGGGTCACTAGTGACTGCACTGTGTATGTGTCCTGATGCTGGACCTGCCCCCGCCTCTGTACTCTGCTAAAGGTGACTGTCCTGTCCAATTACCAATCCCCTTCCCCCCCTCCAGACAGACTCTCCCTCAAAAGAACCTGACTGAAACAGTAATGAACAGAAACATATTTTTTATTAACAACCAGACAGGAAACTGGGGGGTGAAAGTTGGGCGGGGGCTTGGGTGAGGCGGGCAGGAAAGGACTTTTCAAATTTTGGGGAATGACAGCCTTCTGGTGCTTGAGCAGTCTGCAGGGGTGGAGTGAGAGTTTTCACGGACTCTGCCACCCCTCCTTCTTTGGACTTTGGGAGAGGGGGGTATGGGACTTGGTGGCGGGGGACTGCGGTTCCCGATAGACTGCAGCGGGGCTCTGTCCTCCTGCCTCCGTTCCTGCAGAACATCAACAAGGCGCCGGAGCGTGTCCGTTTGCTCCCTCAGAAGTCCAAGCAGCGTTTGAGTCGCCTGCTGGTCTTCCTGCCCGCCACCTCTCCTCACGTTCCATGTGTGTCCGGTGCATTTGTGACAAATTCTCCCTCCACTGGTTCTGCTGTGCTGCCTGGGCTCAGGAGCAGCCCATTAGTTCTGAGAACATGTCCTCTCGCGTCTTCTTCTTTCTCCGCCTAATGTGCGCTAGCCTCTGGGAGTGTGATGCCAAGCTGGGTTGGGAGACAGTTGCAGATGTGGCTGTGGGAATGAGGAAAAGGCAGTGAATTCCTCCGAAAGATAAATGTGGTTGTGAATCAAGAACATAGTTTTTCTCTGTGAACAAGACCATGAACCACACCTATCACATGCGCACTCAGGACAAGGTCGAATTTTCGAACCTCGCCTTCAGTGCCTGGGCTTTTGCACTGCCGATCTGGGAAGCGGGGCAGGACACGGTACTCTCTGTAGCAGGCAAACATGGTAAGCCGTAGACTTGTGGCTGCTTAAAACTGTAGGAGTACCACTGGCCTCCTTTCACATTGAAAGCACTGCCAGTCTGTGCTGCCAGCAATCGGCCAAGCAGGAACTCTGGCCCTGTCCCACCCCCTCGCGGATGAGCCAGGGAAAGATCCCTGTATGCTGCCCCTCTCCCGCCCCCACCGCGTGGCTGTAAACCAGCGGTCACAGTTCTGTAAAGGAACTTGTTGCAAGCAGTCCCAATACTAACAGTCCCCTACCTAATTCAAAGCAGGTCATCATGAGCGACATAACTCTCATGAGGATCCCGGACACCGAGATCCAACGGATGCTTCGAGAAAGCCTGCAGAGACCGGGGCCCTTTGCCGCCATGCTATGCAAGGCAATGATACCGGAGTACCTGCTTGTCTCCTGGCGCGGGAACGTCTCCTACTTCGGAGGACCAAGTAAAGCCGCTCTCCCCAGGAACCTGATGAACAGGCTATCCCATTACCTGCAGCAGAGCTTTGTGGAGATGTCCGTGGAGGACTACTGCTCTATCCCCGGACATATAGACAGGATTCTAATATAGCTGCAGTAGCAGGCACTAATGAGTGGAGCAGCTTGGGCAGCACAATCATGCACAACCGGACACTGTTTGATTTTTTTTTAAATAGTTGTTACTGATTACTTAAGCGCCCAGGGGGAAGAAATCATGATTCACAGATTGTTCTTAGTATTAATATTCAAGTTTTGTAAAAAATAAAGGTTAATATGTTTAAAGCACTTACCGCTTGATCCTTCGCCTGAATCTGTGTCCAGGTTACATGCTGGGGAGGGTTGGTAGGGGATCTCTGTAAGGGTGATGAAGAGCTCCTGGCTGTCGGGGAAATCAGCGGTGCCAGCGCTGTCGACTGCCTCGTCCTCCTCATCTCCTTCCTCATCTTCCCCGTACGCTAACATGTCCGAGGAACCGGCCGTGGACAATATCCCATCCTCAGAGTCCACGGGTAGTGGTGGCGGGCGCAGCAAGGATGGAATGCAGTGCCTCGTAGAAACGGGATCTGTGGGGCTGGGATCCGGAGCGTCCGTTTGCCTCTTTGGTCTTCTGGTAGCCTTGTCTCAGCTCCTTGATTTTCACGCGGCACTGCGTTGCATCCCGGCTGTAGCCTCTCTCTGCCATGGCTTTGGAGATCTTCTCGTAGATCTTAGCATTCCTTCTTTTGGAGCGCAGCTCTGAAAGCACGGACTCATCGCCCCACACTGCGATGAGATCCAAGACTTCCCGATCAGTCCATGCTGGGGCCCTCTTTCTATTAGATTGCACGGCCATCTCTGCTGGAGAGCTCTGCATCGTTGCCACTGCTGCTGAGCTCACCTCGATGTCCAAACAGGAACTGAGATTCAAACTGCCCAGACAGGAAAAGGAATTCAAATTTTCCCGGGGCTTTTCCTGTGTGGCTGGTCAGAGCATCCAAGCTCAGACTGCTGTCCAGAGCGTCAACAGTGTGGTGCACTGTGGGATAGCTCCCGGAGCTATTACCGTCGATTTCCATCCACACCTAGCCTAATTCGATATGGCCATGTCGAATTTAGCGCTACTCCTCTCGTTGGGGAGGATTACAGAAATCGATTTAAAGAGAGCTTTATGTCGAACTAAATGGCTTCCTGGTGTGGACGGGTGCAGGGTTAATTCGATATAACAGCGCTAAAGTCGACATAAAAGCCTAGTGTAGACCAGGCCTCAGATTTGACCCCAACTCTCCCCTCCCCCCCCCTTTCCATCCACACACAAATCAGTCTGATTTGCTAAGCTTACTCTGAGGACCATCATTTCTTCATTTCCGGATTGAGTAGGCAAAGTAATAATCCTAATATTATGTTAATGTAAATTTTTTGTATTTAATTTCTGATATTTTTTTCTAAAGAAAAAAACCTGTTCTGATTTCACTGTGTACTTTGTCTGCATAATCAGCGCTGTAAATGGGAGTTATGTACTGAAGAGTGATTGTATTAAAAAGGCTCCTTCTTAGTCATTCCTTCTCCATATGTAAATTTAGAAACATAGCTGCTTACTTGACTGACTGAAATAAATTTTTACTACTTTTGATTCTTGGTTGCACTCAAGAGCCAGAACAGCTCTGGAGGGTGAGATGGATTCTATTTTGACTCACGTATTGTTAATCAAATAATGAACTAAATTCTGATTGTAGAATCCTTAGCTTGGTGTTTCATCATAAGCCAGAGGGATCCCATTTTTACTGTCAGGTTCCAGGTTTTGTTGGCAGGGCTGACAGTTTTTAACTTGTAAACTGAGACCATTTGAGGTAGAGTTATTGAGATACAAACATAGAACCTCCACAATGCTATTTTTATAAAGTCACATTTTAGAGCAGAACCACTTTCTCTGGTCAGATTTTTAAACCTGTGAAATTCAGTCTACGCATTTAAAGTAGCAGAGAAAGGCATAACAAGAACCGATGGCTGGAAACTAAAGCCAGACAAATTCAGATTAGAAATAAGGCACACATTTTTAACAGGCAGGGAGATTAACCATTGGAACAAAATACCAAGTGAATTAGTAGGTTCTCTTGTCTCTTGATGTCTTCAGTCCAAGAGCAGATGCCTTTCTGGAAAATATGCTTTTTTCAAACACAAGTTATTGGGCTCAGTACAGGGGTAACTGGGGGTATGTCTACTGAACACAGACCCAGGGAGTTGGTGGGCTTGGACTCAGGTGGCTAGCCCATGCCACTGCTGCATTATTCACGGTGCTATTTTTAGTGTGCCAGCTCGAGCTGAGCTAGTGCACATCTGTCTACCTGTGGTGGGAATCACAACTCTCAGCTGCAGTGTAGACATACCCTGGGTCAAATTCTGTGGCCTGTGTTATGCTGGAGATCAGATTAGATGATCTAATAGTTTGTGTCCTTAAAATCCATGAACATTAGTATTATATATTTACATTATTCCATAGTCCTATGTTGTCTTTTTTTATTGTCTTTAAACCTAAAGTAGTTTTTCCCTTGTTCATGCAAAACTAGTTTTTTCAGTTGCTTATAAGTATTGTGTCTCTTTTCTCCCACTTCCACTTACCTACCTGGAGACTAGTCTTCTGTGAAGACCACACACCTGGGATGATTCATACCTCTTGTGACATTCAGTACTGTCTGAGTTATGAATGCACAGAAAAAAACCTTACTCTTTTTAGAGTAGAAAATGTGTGATTTATTTTGATCATGGTATATTTCAGCCAAAATAATTTTTTTTGGAAGTTACGAGCATCTGGAATCTGGGTTATAAAAGAAGTCTCAATGTAACTGTAACATTTACTGTCAAGTGAACAATATTATTAGAGTTGAAAATTTAAATGGGATTTGTGATAGCACAGTGGAATTGATTTAGAGGCTATAGAAAGAAAACTTAGAAAGCCTAAACATGCGGTACTTACATCATCTGGTCAGATGATTTATTTATCCAAGTTGTTTAAAGAAATAGTCATTAAGTGTTAAATAGGAAGCGGTCCTGTGTAGAAGAATATGTGCTATTAAATATTTCTCTACATGTCAAGAAGCTTTGAGAGGTGGAACTGAATTTTTTTTAAGTACTCTGCCTTCATGCAATATTGTTTTCCACTAGGCCATATCAACATGGAGCTGATATGTTGGCTGCAATTTCCCAGATATTGAATGAATGCACAAAACCTGATCAAGCCACACCTGCTGCTTTAGTATTACAAGGTCTTCATGCACTTTGCCAAGCTGAGGTAAGATTAATTTGGACTGTCCTTTTTTTGAGTACTGCTCTGCATTGCACGCTTCCATTTTCTAGCAGGCATTGCTGTAGAATAGTACCATGTTTCCTTCTGTTAAATTAAACTTTTATCTTTTCCTATTTATTAATTATTCACTGGGAAATGTAATCTGAGTGTTTCCCTGATCAGTTGCTATGATATCCCTCCAACACGGGGCCAGGAATTTTAAGTCTCTTCACAGCTCTTTTGTCTATCAACAGGCAGATGTCCCTTCAAGAATTTTTCCTTCAAATTTTAGATGTGGCTTGGTGCATAGTTCTATTTGGATAAGAAGTGCACACATCCTATTATTTTTGCTACCCTGTGTTCTTAACCCTGGTCCCTTTGACTGTCTCATTCACTTATGTCTTTCATTATGTTATTCACTTGTTATGACTGTAAGCTCTTTTGGACTGAGACTGTCAGTTCCTATGTGCTTGTACTAAGCCTAGCACAATGGAACCCTGATCTGGTTGAAGATTCTAAGGACTACCACAATATGTACATGTTTAATAATAATGTCAGCAGCATGCAATTTAATTAATAAACACCTGTATAAAACAACAGACTCCAGACTGCTGCTAAAAACCAACATCTGGTTCAAGAAAATTATCACTGAGTTTTCTTTTAAAGTGGGGTATCACCCTTTTTGGCCCTATCAACACATTTTCAACATTAGCCTCAATTACTATTTAAACAAGCTTGCCCCTTTACTAGCATTTTTAGATCATATTTTCTCTCTTATGATTTGGAGGCAGGAGCTATGGATACTGCTGGGCCATGCAGGATAGAGAGTCTCAAAACAATGCCCAAGCTGCGACTCTGTCTGTGAGATGTGCTCCCCCCGCCCCATACAGGCTGTCCCAAAGATCCACTTTGGGAAGCAGGAAACATTCCTGATGTTATGCCACTGGTGAGAGATGATAGGCCAAGGTACCACCAGGTACTTGAAAGTGAGCACCTTATTTTCCTGGAAGGAAATAAACATTGTGTGGCACACTAAAATCTTCCTCTCACCGCTGTTCTAATTTTGCCTCAGTCCTGACACTTAGGCTATGTCTACACTACACTATGTTGGCAGAACTTATGTCACTCAGGGGTGTGAATAAGCCACACACCCCCGAGTGACATAAGTTACACTGACCTAAGCACCGGTGTGGATAGTGCTATGTTGACAGGAGAGCTTCTCCTGCTGACACAGCTGCTGTTGCTCATTGGGGGTGGATTAATTAAGTCAGCAGCAGAGCTCTCTCCCATCGGCTTAGAGTGGCTGCACTAGAGAGCTTACAGCAGTGCAGCTGCACTGATGCAAGCTCTCTAGTGTAGCCATAGCCTTAGTGCGCCTGATTTAGAATTCTTGTATGGGTTAGTGATATGGACAACCATATTTTGGAATGAGGGTAAAACAGTTTTTTCCCCTAATTAGTATTTAAACATCGGTCTCCAGAGCAAGAACTTGAGACGCAGTATATTTGGTGGTTAGTCAGAGTTTCTTGGGTCTTCTTGACCTGTCCTGCACGCCCTTGCAGGGGAGGCATAAGGCACACTCAGAATCTGCTTCCTAGTCTGCACTTGAGCCAGTGCAATGGCACAACTATGTACATGGGCTTTTGGCAAAAATCATTGAGTCCTTAAGAAAGTGGTCTGATGTTTAACAAATGTTTGTAAAGCATTTTGAGATGCTCAAGTGAAAGTTCCTGTATAAGTGAAATTATAATAAAACTTGCTGTAGTGCTAATATTTGGTCTGAATAGTAGTTTTCAGTTGAGTTGAATATAATAATTGTTTGGTATACCATGTATACATAAAGTAGGTACCACTGTACATGAATTTTTTACATCACTTAGAGCATTGGGTTTGCATTTGGGAGATTTATGAAGAAGGCTAAATCTTCCTTTTTGCTTTTGTGTAACAGAGACCTTTAAATGAAACTATAGTATGCACTGACTTGCATGTCAAAATTGTAAAATATACAAAGTAGTTCTTGCCAGGCCACATTTACTAATTCTGGGCAAATCTTTTGGTTTTTTGCCAGCATGATTTCAACAGAAGCCAGCATACTTTCTGAGAGGCCATCTATCCTGGTTTCTAATTGATTTCATGTGTAAAGTGTTGTATGCAGGCCAAGAAAGATTCAAGAATGAAAATGCTAAGCATAGTTGTTGTTGTTTTTTAAAAAAACCTCTTCCAAGCTGTTTCTGGAAGTGGTTTCTTGCTGTTTGCTCCACAATTCCACATTTATTGTCTGTCTTTGACCAAAAAAGGGAACTGGCAAAGTGGAGCAGTATAGAGAAATAAAAATTATACAGATGACAAATTATGCTAACCAGTGAATTTGATGTTTAGTGGAAATTGCAATGTTGGACAATCTTAAAACAGTGTGCATTAATAACTTGGCTATTAAAACTAAGGTTAAACATTTTTTACATTTAATACTTGGAGAAACTTGTGGTTTGAATTTTTTCCCCTTGGATTAAGATTTCCCTTGTGTCTTTTATCGAGTCTTGTTGATTCATCACCACCACTCAGGTATTTTTCTTAGCCTTACGTTCCCAGCCACACGAGGCCCTGCATTACTGACATTTTAGTTATGTTCAGCTCCTTCAGCCAGGATTACAGATGCTATTCTTTAATTGTCCAGAAGGGTTGCTACTGAGGCCTGGTCTACACTGGGGGGTGGGAAATCAAGCTAAGTTACGCAACTTCAGCTACGTGAATAATGTAGCTGAAGTCGACGTATTTAGATCTACTTACCGCGGTGTCTTCACTGTGGTACGTCGACTGCTGATGCTCCCCTGTTGACTCCGCCTGCGTCTCTTGCTCCGGAGGAGTACCGGAGTCGACGGGAGAGTGCTTGGCAGTCGATTTGTCGCGTCTTCACTAGATGCGGTAAATCGATCCCTGCTGGATCGATTGCTCCGGAGGTAAGTGTAGACATGCCCTGAGAGATGCAAGGTGCTTTCTCCTCCTTAGCCCAATTTCAGCCCTCCCAGGGCAGTGTGCTCCCTCCACAGCATTCCTGTCACTCTCAGAATGAGTGAACAAGAGTGTGGGACTGGAAATCAGACCTGCCTGTGTCTCCCCGACAGTAGTATGGAGAACTTTGATTCATCTGGTTGGTGGGAATATTCACCATTGGAGACTTTTTGAAATGTTAAAGATGTGCTTGACAGCCTCCATTCCATATTCATCGCTTCTCCCACTAATGTCTCTCTGCTTTGTGCAAGCCCACTACCTTCTCCTCATTAAACTCACATACCAAAAAGAATGTAAAAATATAGTCATTGAGGTTGCAAAGTCAAGCACTTCAAGGTTAGGAATTACCAGAATTAAGTTAGCATGGCCAACCTTAATTCATCTTTGTTCTGTGTACATTATGATACAGTCTCAAATTAATGATCACACACTCTTTTCTCCCTAAGATCCCTACTTCTTTCATTGTTAGGCAACCTAAAGATTTGGTTCGTTGTCACTTCCCCATGATAGTTTTCACCATGCTTTGCACTAGCTTTTGTTGAGTAACTACACAGTCTTATTGGTGTAGCCCTGTTCTTTTGCCCCATCCATCCTTTTCCTAACCCTGTTGTTCTGTTACTCTCTTTGTCGCATCATATCTGAATTTATTTTGTAATTTCCTCAGGACAGGAACGAAGACTGACCATATCTTCTTTATACTTCAAGGCAGCTAGTACATTTATGGTCTCTGTAATGTAGTAAGTAGTAATAAAACTATAGTTAGCGTCAATTTGACTTTTAATTCAACAGTGTGCTTTAAATGGGGAGTCCATTTTTTTTTTAAGTTTATGAAAGTTTTTTTTTTTCTCAAACTCCATCAGTTCTTGGGCTTAAAAAATTTTCAGAACAAAGGTAAACCTTAAACTGTATTTCTTTAAATATTATTTGCAACAAACTTGGCTTTTTATTTGGAAAAAGGTTCTATATATTTTTAATTTCTAGTCACATAACAGTGTGCTAAGTTCTCTATAGGCATATACAGTAAGACAAGTGTTAATAGCCCTTGTAGATTGTAAGAGCTCTTAAGAACTCACAGACTAAATAGAAAACAATCTAAATAGTCAACAGAGTCTTCTCTGACATGCAAATATAGGACTTTCAGATTATGAGACTAGTGAGGTACTTGCTGTATCATGAAGGCGAGCATAGCCATAAATGGTCTGAAACCCTGTTGTAAGAGACTGATCCTTCCCTACTGTGGCAGTTACTATCAAGTGTGATGTTCTTGCTCCCAGGACTTCTGCCTTTGTACTTGAACTTCTTGGTGGTTCACCAAAACCCAAGTTTTTGGCTCACTTTTGGGCATTGTGCAAAGTGTATTTTGTCGATTTTGTTTACTTTATTCTTGCAGCTTGGCTGTCCACAAATTTTATATAGCAGCAGTGGTCATTTTTATTATACACAATGCATTGTGAGTTCATATACAATTTTATTTTTGCAAATAGCTCATAGTTGCTATAGCTGTAAATGCTCTATAAATTACTGAATGAATATACCACTTTGAAATGGAGGGCAAGTCTGATGGGTTTTGCTGTAGTTGCCTGTTCTAGAAAAAGTTCTAATAGGAGCTGTAGTTTAGTGCATAATCTGAACATTTCAGATGATGACTGTGAGGGATGTAGAGCTGATCTGTAATAACCTATGAATGCTATATGTTGACTTGGTTATTGGGATGTTTACCATATGAATATGTCGGTTTTGTTTAATAGTAGCCTGTATGGAAAAGCAAGCAGGCAGGGCAGAAGAATAACTTAAGATATGCCATGCCTCAGCAAACACTTGAGGGTTGTTACAGGACAATGGCAGAGCCATAGGCTCCAACAAGTCTGCCTTGACCTCCTCTGAGCCTACTAGGGCAAAGCCTGAGAACTGACAAGAACAAAGGGATTCTGTCTGGATTAAAAGAGTCTCTCTCTGTCTCTGTCTTGTTAGGGGAACCAGACTGACTCAGGCTCCTG